CAGAATTATTAACTTCCCGTAGGGTAAGTTATAGTAATCGTCCAAAAATCGAAATCAAAATTTTTACATTTCTCGCGTTTTGAGAGGTTTCTGAACATTTTGGCGCATACTTCAGAAAAAATGGATGGTGTGTGTGTGTGTGTGTGTGTGTGTGTTGTTTTTATGTCCGCTTTTTTTCGTCCACGTTTTCGGGCGCACGGATCAACCGATTTGAATGGTTTTAAAAAACATTCGATTCCTATCGATAGGGAGATGTGCTGATTAGTTTTTTGCAAAGGCAGGTCCAGCCGTTACGGAGATATGGAGCAAAGAGTGCAAATAATAGAAAGCGAGTTTTTGAGAGAACGGATCAACCGATTTGAATGGTTTAAAAAACATTCGATTCCTATTGATAGGGAGATGTGCTGATTAGTTTTTGGCCAAGGTAGGCCCAGAGGTTTTGGAGATACCGAGCTAAATTTAAAAAAAATGGCTGTTTTTGAGAGAACTAAGCGTCCGATTTAAATGATTCAAAGAACTTTCTGCTTTTTTCAACAAAACAATTGATTTTGGAAAAAAAAATTTTTTGTTTCTAATTTTTTTTCAAAAATTTTTTTTTGTAATTTTGGACTAAAAATTCAAAAAATCACCCAAGCTAAGCACAGTCTAAGCGCCACTCTGGTAGAAATGTTTACGCAAGTGCGTTTAGACTGTTTGTGTACTGGAGCACTTTTTCAATTTTGTGAAATTATTGAAAAATGTGAAAATGCCGCCAAGCTGAGCACAGTATAAGTGAAAATGTCGCAAAGAATTATTTGCAAATGCGTTTAGACTGTGACTATGCGGGAGCACTTTTTCAATTTTGTGTAAATTTGGCAACTATTTTTTTTTTGGAATTTGATTCGAAATGAAATGACGATTGTTAATGTTCTGGAGATGATGAATTGATTTATTTATAATTAACTTTCCATAGGGTAAGTAATCGCAAAAAAATCGAAAATGAAAATTTTTATATATCTTCACGTTTCAGAGGTTTCTGAATATGTTGGCATACCTTGGAGAAAATTGATGTATGTGTGTGTGTGTGTGTGTGTGCGTCCATGTGTGTGTGTTCGGATACAAATTTTCGTCGACGATTTCGGGAACACGGATGAAGCAATTTGAATAATTCAAAAAACATTCGATTCGTATTGATAAGGAGACGTGCTGATTAGTTTTTGTCAAAGGCAGGTCTAGCCATTCCGAAGATATGGGGCAAAAAGGGCCAAAAACGGTAACTCAGTTTTTAAGAGAACGGAGCGTCCGATTGGAATAATTCAAAAAACATTTTACTTATATTGACAAGATGAAGATTTGATCAAATTTTCATGAAGATAGGTCTAGCGGTTTCGGAGATCTAGTAAAAAAAAACTAAAAAAAATAACATTTGGCGGTCAACAATAATCATTAGACATTACACATATGCATATCAAATTATCAGATATTTTATGAGATTTTAACAATAAGTATAAGTTTTGTTTACATTCCTATGGGTTCCGTACCAATGTTTTTCCGTTAGACAGCGACGCGGCGCTTACGCGCTTTATATTTTGTCTCTATGCAGTTAAGGCAGTACGATTGCTTTGAAAAAAAGTTCAGATCTTCCAAAATATGTCAAAATGAAGATAACATTTTTTCCAAAAAAAATTTTTACAAAAAAAAATTGTTTAAAAATTTTTTTTAAAAAAAAATTTTTTTTTCAAAAAAAATAATTTTTTGTCCAATTTAAAATTTCTAAAAAATCTTATTTTTTCGAAGTAAAATTTTTTTCAAAAATGTTAATCGTTTTTAAAAAAATAATAATTTTTGGCACGGGAAGTTCCAGCAATTTGCCTTAAGGCACGATGCCTTAATTGCCTTAAGACAGAATTCCACTTACAGCTAGTTTGCAAATGCGTTTAGACTGTGACTATACGGGAGAAACTACAAATATTTGATCACAAACCATTCATCAAAATATTTAATCTATTACACTTACTAAATTAAAGCTACAAAAACATCCTCACACACACACTTAGCTCTTTTTTTTTAATCAATCTGTCCCTTATGATTCATATACCCGTTGCCTCCGCTCTCGCCTCCGTACCGTTTTCCCGTTCCTCCTCCACCAGCTCCTGATTTGCTCCTCAATTTGGCGCAGGCCACCAGGAGGCAGGCCGTCACTGCTCCGAAGCAGGCACAGAGGGACGCCAGGGCTGCACTCAGGACCGACGTCCTTACACATGTCTGGTTGGGGGCTGGAGTCGAAGAATTCGACCCTGGTGATAGAAATAGAGGTAAATAAATTTTGTTATTTTATTAACTTCCCGAAGAAGAAGTTTATGTTTTCATAAAAAAATCCGATTCGCTAATGTTATGTTTTCTCGACGTTTCAAGCCATTCTGAATCGAATGAGACCAACATTTGGAAAAAGTATGTATGTGTGTATGTGTGTATGTGAACAGATTTTTTGCCGTAAATCGACGTTTTCTCAATAACGGTTGGACCGATTTCAAAAATTTAAAAGCCATTCGATGTATATCGGTGAGGACTAGCGTTTGTCAGTTTTGTGTGACGATCGCCCGAGACGTTTCTTTGTAAATAGCAGAAAAGTGAAAATTTTTTCGTCCACGTTTTAGCCCGCAATTCTTAATCGATTTTGAAAATTCAAAAACCGTTCGAAAGATATTGGTTGGGAATCGTGCTGATTAGTTTTTGGTAAAGATCGGCCGGGCCGTTTCCTTGTAATAAAGTTTAAAAAAAAAATTTCGGCGATTTTTATTATAATTTTTTTGACGATAGATACCATAGTCTTTTACTTACTAAAATATTACGGCCCTACGACAACTCGTTTAGCTTTAAAAATTCGTCAAAGTTTGCAAAAATCAGTATGGTCTTTTTGGCATTTGTCAAAATTAGACCTTTGATCGACGTTTTCTCAAAAACGCCTGAACCGATTTCAGAAATTTAAAAGCCATTTGATGTATCTCAATAAGGACTATCGTTTGTCAGTTATGTGAGACGATCTGCCAAACCGTTTCTTGGTAATTTGAAAAAAAGTGTTAAACTTTTCGTCCACATTTAAGCTCAAACTACCGAATCGATTTCAAAAAATCAAAAACTGTTCGAAAGGCATTAGTTGGGAATGATACTGATTAGTTTTAGGTGAAAATCTACCGAGCCGTTTTCTTGTAATTAACTGTTGAAAAAAAAATTTAAGCCGATTTTTATGGAATTTTTGTTAGCGATATATATCATGGTCTTATAGAACTTACTGTAATATTACGGCCTGACGACAAGTAGTTTAATTTTAAAAATTCATCAAAATTTGAGAAAATGAGTAGTTTTTTTGACGTTTGTTAAAATGAAAATTAGATGATTTACTTGGTATAGAGTGTTCGTTCGTTTTCAATAATGTGTAATAAATCCACTCGAAATACTTTTAATCACTCATAAATTAATTTGTTTATTGTTGATTAAATAGATTATTTACACATATCGGGAAGTTCATGTAACTTGCCTCAAGGCTAAATACCAATACCAATTAGTTTGGATTAATTTTATATAAAAATAATGTAGTAAACTTTGTTAAAAAAGCAAAACATTTATCATAAAATATTTTCACCAAATAATAATTCTTCTGCATTCTAATTTTTTCTTTTGCTATTTCCATTCGAGAATTAATATTATATCGGGTAGTTCGATTAGCATATTATTACTTTTACACAATTATATAATCGTGTAAAAGTAATAATATAATACTAAATATTTTTTGTTGCTTAAATACATTTGACGTCACTGATATATTATACACTCTAAAGTTATTTCAGGCTATGGAAAAATCAGATCAAATGTATTTTGTTTCGCGTATTGTATATTCCTGATTTACGGCCAAAGATTGTCGTAGTAGAAATATGACCCCTTACTATTCAATAAATTATACATTGGAGCTATTCACACTTGAACACAATTTCATTGTTCTGTATCTTCGAAGTAATATTCTTGTATTTTCTGAAAAAAAACGTATACTTAAAAGGTCATAAAACTGTCTGTCAGACGAGAAAGCGACAGCTTCCTTCCCAAAGCAAAAACGCAGTAACATATTTAGTACCAGTTTAGGGAAGTCGGATATGACAAATCCTGTGAAACAACTCCACTCGGATCCACTCCGAGAGAGGAGTTGTATCTGAGTGATAACTCCGGAGTGAGTTACCCATCTATATTTTATATTAATGGTATTTAACTAATTTGTTTTTTTTTGTGCAGATTGTATCTTTTACCCACCGTCTCTAGTGCTCTGGTCATCATCAGTTTCTCCTTCGCCTTCTTGCAGGACTCGAAGTGCTTGGAAAAGGCTGATGTTTTCTGATAATTTATTACTATTGTCCTTGCTGGTGCCATCACCACCATTACCATCTGATAATGGTGATTGTCCTTGATCAGAAGTTGGTGGTATGGAGGTCGTGGAACCGATGAGGGAACGTTTTTGCAGAATTTTGGTGTTTCTCCAGTGACAGGGCTGAGTCTAAGGAATAGAGGTCAGTGAAATATTTATTGAAGTAAAACTTCTTTAGGCGCGATATGGGTGTAAAAATTCATTAGGCGCGACACGGGTGTAAATCCGTACAAATGCAACGAAAACGCCAACGTGTAGTTGAACACTACGACGCCGTAAGCGCTGATGTCGCGAGTATCCACTCCCGTCATGTCATGCGTAAGTCGAGCGCTAAACCCTATATGAACTTGCATTAATTGAATCACGTTTTTTTTACAAAAGAAGAGGTTGCTGTATTATGTCCTCATGGAATAAGACTTTTCTTGTGTCATGGAATATAATAAATTTATATTGAATCTCGGTGAAGACAAAATAATATCTACTGCCACGGATATTTATGTAGGTTGCCATGCGACATATCAACAATCATACATTCGTCAGCAGTTTCACAAAAATCGGTTTTTGATACCGGGGCTTTGCCGTATGAAATAATTTTAGTTCTGAATAAATTTTACATAATAACAACTAATATTGATGTGAGTGATGGCTTAGCTAATGGTTGTGTAGGAAAATTAGTGTACATGGAACGTGGCGATAATGATGAACTTCTACGTTTATGGTTTGAATTTCCTGGTAAGATAGGTAACAAAATTAGGAAGAAAGCTTTACATCATATTCAAACTCTTATTATCAGTAGGACAGCTGTGCCGATGCTCAGGAGATCTTATTATTATTAAAAGATGATTTTTAAAATTCAAATATGATGTTTTTTTTATTTTTATCTTAATTGCCTACTCATACAATATTAAAAGTTTTACTTCAATCGCGTGTGATCCTTACGCGCACTCTTTTTTAATATATATATATATATATATATATATATACATATATATATATATATATATATATATATATATATCTTCAACAATGTTTCAACGTCGAAAAAACTATCAAGATATATATCTTATATATAAAAATGGAGCTCTCGATAAAATGATCCGCTAAAACTCGAAAACGGCTAAACCGATTTGGCCAGTCTTAGTCTTGAAAAATTCGTGCTAATCAGTAAGTTGTCGGAAAGGTGAGGTATTATTTCAAAATCGCGTAGAAACTTTACATTTTTAATTTTAAAGTTATTGTAGAAGCGTAATTTGAATAAAACAATGGACGGTGGCTAATACGTCAAATGTCAAACGTTTTTGACAGATGATGGTTCATTACGTTTAACAGGATGTTTTACGTGAATATTATTTAATTATGATTAAATTGTAGTAAGTAATTTTGTTAGTAGTTTTATTTATATACAAAAACGTTTTGATGTAAACAAATTGACGGCTTAAAATATATTTTAAAAATATAAAGCGTTGTAATACAGTTATGAAATTATAGGATGTTATTTCTTAATATTCGTACTAAATTATAAAAATATGAAATCAAATGTTTCTAACAGAAGAAACTAAAAAATTGCAATGCACACTTGCATATTCTTTTTTTATTAGTTGCGAATCGACGGTTGGATATGATATGAGAAGTACTTTTGAAAAATGTTTTAAAAATATACAATATTATACTAGAGCTATGAAATTTTAGTATGTTATTACCTAATATATGTACTCAATTATAAAAATATAAAATCAGATATGTTTCTAACAAAATAAGCTATAAATGTGCAATTTTGTCAACAAATGCACTCTTGCGGTTTGATGAGTATTTTGAAAAATATTTAAAAATATAAAACGTTATACTAGAGGTACAAAATTTTAGTATGTTATTTCTTAATATGTGTACCAAATTATAAAAATATAAAATCACACATTTCTGTAATTCAGTAAAATCATGTAATAGGGCTGCAAGTTTTACTACAAACTCAATAATATCAACTTTTTTGAAATGTTAATATGAAAATGCATTTTTGGCACTCTTTTTTTGCAAATCATATTTTTCTCAAACACGGTGCTTTGAAAGATCTAATTTGTACAATTATATACTCATTGGTATTTATAAAACTGGTAAATATTTATAAAATTGGTAAATATATACTTGGATCGGACTATTATACCATGTTTTCTGTAGAAAGTGTATAAAATATCCAGTCTGATTGTATTGACAAAATATAGACAAACTAATAGAGTTTATTGTTTTTATAATACCTCATTGTATATAGCATTCAAACAACACATCCTTATACACTTAAAGTATTAATATTTTTGATTCTCTAGAATATATCTTACTTAGCAAAACAACGTTTGCCGGGCCAGCTAGTTAAGGAATAAATACTAATAATAAAATCAAAATCATAAATATTAAATTTGCTCAAATACTATTATATAACAATTTAAAAAAATCAATTTTTCATACCGGACATCGACCATGGCACATTCTAACATCACATTCTATATAAAGAGCTGGAGAACCGGTAAACCTAAAAGTTTTCATATAGGCAAAGACCTGGAAAATAAAAATTATTAAAAATCAAATTTAGAAATTAGATTTCTAATAATCATTGACAAATATTTTTAGTAATTAATTACTTACCTGTGTTTCAAACACACCACTATCAGACCAAGATCCTCTGAACCTTGATATAAGTTTGTCATCTACTGGACAACTGAAAATTAAATATATTTTGAATTAATTTGTAAAATATTAAAATCATTTTTAGTATTTTTTATCAAAAAATTATTAACTTACCCATGTTCATCTATCATTTGAATTCTTTTATTAGCTCCATTGTGGGCGTAGCAATCGTTGACGACCAAATCAAAACCATCTAAAATAATAGATTAAATTTTTTTAAATTTGGTTTTAAACATTTTTTTAGCATACAATTAATATGGAAATTATCATTTGTTCAAAAAGTTATAACAAAAAAGTTGTAATTTTTAAGTTACTTAAACTGTAAAATAAATTTGTTCAAAATCGCAAAATTGTAAGTATTGAATGTTGTCCAATTTCTAATAGATTTCTTTGGCCATAAACCTAGATATATATTTCAACTTATTTTTTTTTGTTTGGTTTTCTGGCTTACCATATTTGCTTCTCATATAAATAATTAAAGTGAGAGGGTCCCCGACCCTAACCGGCCCTGCAACACGAGCCCCTGTAGTTCCATAACCGCTCCTGATTTCCATATAACATTCTGGAGGCGATAAAGTGAAAACTACTGGATTTCCAGTAGCTACCCTAAAAATAAAAAAAATAAAAAATACATAAATATTATTATACAAAAAAAACAAAACTAATAAATCCAAAAAATTTATATTTTAATAATTAATTTAATAATAATTAGATATTAAATTTATATTAGCAATATTGATATTGATATTGATATTGATATTAAAATAACACGATGATTCTAAGAATAAAAATATGAATTATAATTTATTTTTTATTGAAATTTAAATATTTGAAATTCGTATTAAAATTATATTAACTAGTATTTTTCCTTGCTACTTGTATTTTTAAAATATACCATTATATTCATATCAAATAATTTTTAATACATTTTACTTCTAACTAACAGTTCTATTGAATTTATTAGGCAATTCTGCCTTAACAGAGCTTATAGCACAGCGTTGTCACAGCAACGCTAATTTATGCTTGTTTATTGGTACCAGAAACTGTGAAAATGTCTATATTTGAAAATGTCTGTATTGGTAGTGAAAACTGTGAAAATGTCTATCTATTTTCCATGCGATTGGACGTATTTTACATATAAACAAACAAAAAATCTTATGATAACTGCACCATCGAAGATTCTGTTATCATAAGATTTTTTCTTAGCAAATATATAGACATTTTGACAGTTTTCACTACCAATGAACAAGCATAAGTTAGCGTTGCCATGACGACAATGTGCCATGAGCTCTGTTATGGCAGAATTGTCTTATTAATATTTGTTTTAGAGATTTCGTATTTAAAAATAATTGATAAATCATTTTAATATGATGAAGTCTAAGGAGAAATCTTTGTTCCACATATTCCTCATTTTAGTAGTTTTTTTTATAAATATGTATAGTATAATTTAGTATATTGTTTGTACTTACTCTACATCTAAAAATGGAAATGTAACAGTTTTCCAGAAGTCATAACCGTATTCGCAAGTTACTTTAAAATGTTCATCAAATTCTTCTTCAATTAAAGGATTGTACTGGACCGTCACTGTGTTCCACATGAAATTTTTCTAAAAAGAAAATAACACACATATAAGAAAATTAACATTAAATTAAATCAATAATAATAAAACATAATGTAAAGAAATACAAAAAAATGCAGTTCAGTTTATCATTAATTAACATTAACTAATTTGTAATAGACAAATTGAATTGTCTTGAATTTGGTAACAATACTTATAGAAATATGATCGTTAAAATAAAATTTATTCGTTTACAAGCAAGCCTTAGTCAATAATATATTTTTTACATAATTATTATTAAAATGATAATGATAATCAAAATTTAATATAAAAACATTTAAATTCATATAGAATTAAATTAAAAGTCAATTGGCAACCATAAAACTTGGTCTATCGCTTTGTCTAATAAAACAATTTTAATTATATAAATAATTCTAATATAATGTTTTAGTTATCATATAACTATCATTATATATATATATATATGTATATATATATATATATATATATATATATATATACGTATAAATTTATATTAATTTATTTTTTACCGTAGGATTTTTCCTGTTATCCTCATGATGTGTATTTTTGCCTAAAGTTCCACATCGATTTAGTTGGATATAAAATTCGTAGTAGTCTCTTCCTGTGCCATTTATGTACATACAATCAGGATCATAGGCATAACCTGAAAAATACATTTATATATTTATGATTAAATATTTATTTAATGAAAAAGAAACATATTTTAACAACAAGTTTTGGTCATCGTCAATAACAATTTCTTCTAATCGATGTATATTTAGGGGCCAGGTCTTCGGTAAAATAGACGATCCTTCTTTCTTGGTACCAAAAACTGTAAATATGTCTATATATGTTATAAATGTATAAAATCACAAAGATGCAGTTATGATAACATTTCTTTGGCGAAATACGCCTTATCGTACAGCGAATAGATTTTCACATTTTTTGGTACGAAGAAAAAAGGATAGCATTAGCGTTGCCATAACAACGTTTTGTTATCATCTATTCTACCAGAGAATTAGCCCCTAAATATCCTTTCATATATTAAAATACTAGTCTAATCGACGGTTATTCTTGTAAATTATAAACTAATCGGGCATGGCATCGTGCCTTAAGGCAAATCGAATGTTTTTTGAATTATTGAAATCGGTAGACCCGTGTTACCGAAATCGTCGACGATAATTTGTATCCGCACACACACATGCACACAACATACACACACATGCACAAACACACACACACATGCACACCACATACATATATTTTTTTCTAAGGTTTGCCAAAATGTTCAGAAACTTCTGAAACATAATGATATATAAAAAAACTCATTTCCGATTACTATAAATTACCCTAAGGGAAGTTGAAAATTAGAAATATTGAATTTATGTAGATCTCAAATCTTAAAAATATGTACTGAAATTTGATTTTTAGGCAGATTGCCAAAAATCTGTATATTATCTCTAAAGATCTGTAGAAACAAATACCAGTCTTTGATTTCGCAGAGGATTTCTCTAAATCGGGTAAACCGATTTTAAAAATTTAAAAGCCATTCGATGAAACTCGGTAAAGGTTTTATACGACTAAGCAGTTTCTTAAGTATTATTGGTATGCTCATAGAAGGCATTGATAAGTTGGCAAGAAAAAAGTAGCACCAACTCTGTGTCTATTATCCTCGTCGTCGTCATTGCATTCGCTTACTTAACTCTTGTCGTAGAATTATTTTCATATGATTGTGTTACATTCGTGATACGTTGTATTGTGCCTTGTATTGTTCCACTTGTTAACAAAGTTGTTATCAAGTGAAGACGACAGTCGACAGTCGACTTGATTTGACTCTCTTGCCAGGTTCTGTCCTGATGACCAACCGTGCCAAAACAATTGCCGTTCGACATTCTCATAATCAGTCTCACTGGTTCACATTTCAATTCAACAAAAAAATAGATAGATAGATATCATATCATATGGAGTACTTTATTATTAGTCCAGTCATTTGGTGCAAAAAAGGCTGTTGCCCGTACAGTACTCCGGGAATTCTGAAAATTGGCAATGTTATAGATTTCGAGGTGCTCTTTACGAAAATCAACTTTGCCACCTCAAGTTGCCGCCTCGAAATCTATGAGATTACCAATTTTCAGAATTCCCGGAGTACTGTACCGGCAAAACGACAAAATGACTGGACTATATGTCGTTAGTTAATTTCCAAAGAATCCACAATCGGTGTAATATAGAAATTATTCTCACTGGTTGACTTACAAATAAGATCACAAGTAGCATGTATTTATTGCGATTTCCTGATACAAACGTTAGGTAAAATTTTGGATTTTATTCTTCGACAAACACACCCTTTTCTAATTTTAATTAGTGAATTGGATTTTCAGACAAAAACATAAATTTGGTATTATTACTAATCATAAGCTAAGTGAAAATCTGGCCTAAAATTCTTGCTCACCTTACCAGAAAACATGACAGAAATCCTGTTACGAGAAAAAGAGGCGTCGTGTGCACAAGGCTTAAGTAAACTGTTTTAATTGTTTAAATTTTATTATGGTACTAAAAGTTTATCAATTTTTATTTATCTATTTACCGTAGATTTTTTTCTGTTATCTTCATGATGTGTATTTTTGCCTAAAGCTCTTCGTCTAGTAGGGACACATTAAGCAAAAGAAGAAATATTACGATTATGGAAATTGAAACATTAACATACATACATAAATAAATGTATGTATGTACGTTAGTACATTAGTTCATATAAACATACATGCAAAAATGCATAGACATCGTACTAGACGAGACTGAAGATCATAAGACTAGAAAAATATGAAAAATGTTGTATGCACTAGTTAATGCATTTCAATATTGACAGAATTGATGACTTATATGATGAATAAGAAGAAAAATTATCATAACTATGGTATTTATTAAAAAAAAACTGGTTATATGAATTATTCATTTTCCAGATAAATGAGGAACAATTTATAAAAGCCAGGATTCTAAAACAATCTAAACTAGTTGGTATTGGTATTTTGCCTTGGGGCAAGTTTTATGAACTTCCCGATATGTGTAAATAATCGACTAAATCCATGATAAACAATTTAATTTATGAGTGATTAAAAGTATTTTGGTGTATGGATTTATTACACATAGTTAACTCGGAGTATTGCAAATTTTCACAAATCAATAATTTTTATAATTGAACCAGTTTCCGTAGGGCTTTAATTGTTTAGTATGTTCATTAAGACCAAGTAATCTATCGTTACACCAAGTAAATCATCTAATTTTAATTTTAACAAATGCCAAAGGAACTATACTCATTTTCTCAAACTTTGATGATTTTTTAAAGTTAAACTACTTGTCGTAAGGCCGTGATATTTTAGTAAGTTCTATACGACCATGATATACATCGCGAAAAAAAAGTTCCATAAAAATCGTTCCATAAATTTTTTTTTCAACAGTTAATCACAAGAAAACGGCTCGGTAGATTTTCACCTAAAACTAATCATTATCATTCCCAACTAATATCTTTAGAACAGTTTTTGATTTTTTAAAATCGATTCGGTAGTATGAGCTTAAATGTGGATAAAAAATTTAACACTTTCTTCCAAATTACAAAGAAACGTCTCGGCCGATCGTCGCACAAAACTGAGAAATGATAATCCTGATTGAGATACATCAAAAAGCTTTTAAATTTCTGAAATCGGTTTAGCCGTTTATGAGCAAACGTCGATGAAAAGTCTAATTATAACATAACAAATGCCCAAAAAACGATACCAATTTTTGCAAAATTTGACGATTTTTAAAAGTTAAACGAGTTGTCGTAGGGCCGTAATATTTTAGTATGATCTAGAAGACTATGGTATCTACCGTCAAAAAAACATAAAGATCGTAGAATTTTTTTTAACCCTTTATCACAAGAAAATGGCCCGGCCGATCTTTACCAAAAACTAATCAGCACGATTCCCAACCAATGTCTTTCGAATGGTTTTTGAATTTTCAAAATCGATTCAGAATTGCGGGCTAAAACGTGTACGAAATTTTTTTCACTTTTCTGCTATTTATAAAGAAACGGCTTGGCCGATCGTCGTACAAAATTAACAAACAATAGTTCTCGTCGAGATACATCGAATGGCTTTTAAATTTTTGAAATCGGTCGAATCGTTTTTGAGAAAACGTCGATTTCGGAAATAAATCTGTTCACATACACGCACACACACATACACGCACACACACATACACGCACAATTCGATTCAGAATGGCTTGAATCGTCGAGAAAACATAAATTTAGCGAATCGGATTTTTTGATGAAAACATGAACTTCTCCTTTGGGAAGTTAATAAACATTGGAACTTCCTGAAATAGTGATCTCGATGGAAATATAGCTAAAATAATATGTCGTTTTTGAATTAAATTTTTCTAAAAATTTATCAATACTCACCGGCTGAGTATAAAAGTCCAGTGAATGATCCATTGAAACCTACACGAATTTTCATGTAATCATCTTGACATTCTGCTTCGATATCTAAAATTAAACCAAAAACATTATTTGTAATAAATAATTAATAATAAGAAATAAAATAATTCGTAAATAGCATGCTAAGAACCAACAATACAAAAAAATTTTAGCCTTGCAAGAACACCGTTATTCAAAAGATTTACTAGTTCTTCTTCCATAGATTGTTATAGTTTTTTTAAATATTGATATAAATAAACCTATGAGTACAAAAAGTTATAGAAATGCTTAGACATTAACAAAGTAGTTCTTTATTTCTACTCACGTTGTACCCTCGTATTATTAAACCGATACCGCCTATAATCCCTCTCCCAGCCCTCAACGGCAGCAGCGTGCGGCGGCGCCCTCCAAAGTTGCTCTAAGGAACTCCCGCTCCCAGTATCGGCTCCAGCTACTGCTCCGACTCCAGTAGGCGGCTGTTGCTGCTGTGACCCTAATCCTCCTCCTCCAGCTGGTAAGGGCTGGCCATGGGCCAGGGCGTGATCGGTTTCGGCCAGGATGTTGCTGCTGGGCCGAGATCGAAGGGGCGGCACTGGGATGTAGGCGTTTGGAGACTCTGGGAGGAAAACCACCTGGAGAGATAAAGGAGGATTTAGTTATGCTGATAGATTTGGAAATGTTTGTTACAAAGTTCTTGTTAATATTAATTTAATTTACTATAGATGTATTAGATATACAATTCACAATTTTACAATTAAATAACAAAACAACCAAATATAAAATACAAATAAAGGAGTGCTAAACTAATTTAATTTTGTGTCTTGATTTTATGAAACTTGATATTACGTCTTCGTTTAGAGCATCTTCAAAAGTTGAGGACTTGTTTATTAATTAGTAATTGCTTCAAAAGGCTTTACATTCTCTAATTGTGTTTTTATTAATTAGTAGTGTGTGGCATATTGCCTTGAGGCAAGATGCAGAGTCTTCCTAATATGTTAAAATAATAGGCTTAGTAAATATTAGTATAGGCGCGACTAGGGTGTAAATCCGCACAAATGCAAAGTGCGTCACGGCTGATAAGATAAGATAAGATAAGAGTGCCAATGATCCGTCATTCCCTCTCGATGATATCATTTCTATACGGGTCGATTGTGATTAGTCGTCGTGTATGTGAATAGAAATCTGTCGTTGTATGCGTACCGGCATCAACAAGAAAATCGGCATAGATAAATAAACATTTCAAAGTTACATCGTAGTACAAATCTTGATTTAATGAAAAATGCCCTAATCAGAAGTATATTTTACCCTGTTCCTTGAAAATAATAAAACAAATTAAACATTTGTGCCGTGTACTAAACGTAAGTTTATTGATTAGAAATTATTTCTATATTATTCGTAGTTTCTATAAATCTTTAAAGTTATTAAAATGGAGAATATTTATTAGGCAAGACAGATATTACAGCTGTTCAAAGAATGAGATTATATCGTCAGCGAAAAAGTAAAACAAATACCATCAGTCAATGAATGTATGTTAATTTTAATTACATGAAGTTCTTCAAACACAATTATTACATGATGTGTTGCGAAAACAATATTTGTTTAGGCTTTGTTTAACATAATCCACTGTGTGAACGAATAATATAGAATTTATTAATCAGCAATTACTTCATTTCTGACAAACCGATCATGTCATATTTGAAGTATGACTTTAATTTCTAATGATGGATTAATTTAGATCAGAAAAATACAGAGTAAGATATTTTTTATTGCTATTTTCCCGTAGGGCAAGTTATAATAATCGCAAAAAAATCGAAAATGAAATTTTTTATATATCATTACATTTCAGAGGTTTCTGAATATTTTGGCATACTTTAGAGAAAATTGATGTATATGTGTGTGCGTATGTGTGTGTGTAAGTGTGTGTATGTGTGTGTAAGTGTGTGTGTATGTGAGTGTGTGTGTGTGTGTGCGGATACGTGCAGCAAAAAATGACAAAAACTGTAACTCAGTTTTTAAGAGGACGGAGCGTCCGATTTTAATAATTCAAAAACCATGTTACTCGTATTGACAAAATGAAGAACTGATTAATTGGAAGGCAGGTCTAGCGGTTATGGAATCTCAATAAAAATAAATGGTCAAAAATGATCATTAGACATATCCATATCAAATTATCAGATATTTTATAGAGATTTTCATAATGTGTACCCGTTTTGTGTTTTTTTTTTTTGGGTTCCGTACCAAGATTTTTAATTACGGTGTGGGACGTTCCAGCAATTTGCCTCAAGGCACGATGCTATGCACCCCACTGGTTATTTGATTGTAATTGGAATTTAATCCAGCTTATAGTTGGACTTATTTTTAGACAGAGTTTAGTATACTAATACTTAATAATAGATGATATTATTACCTAACTTTTTTTCTAAAAAAATGTATGAACATTATGTCAAGCAATTGATCAAACGGAGTTGAATATTTTTACTCATTTTTCTTACTTTGTAAATTAAATAAAATATTTACACGTTTATTTTATGCGTTTTGTTTGCTCTAGTAGTTATGTAAATTGTTTTATCCGAACAAATGGATAACTAACTAATGATAATTGCAAAACTATAGAAATAGATTAACATATTTATAAAATTATTATATATAATATTTTATAAATTTTATAATATCGTTTCACGTAAAATCAAATATGTTGTAATTTTTGCTCGTATAAAAATGCATCAAACTTTAATAAAACTACGAAAATTATAATCATTATTTTTAATTATTAAAATTATTTGAAGAAATTAAATTTAAATACATACTGGCGGATACATTAAAATTTAAATACTCGGAATACTTTTAATCACTCATAAATTATTTTACATTTTATTGATTAAGTCGATTATTTACACATGTCGGGAAGTTCTTGTAACTAGTTTTAACTTTCAGTAGGGTAAGTTATTGTAATCATCCAAAAAATCGAAATTGATAATTTTTGCATATCTTCACGTTTTGCAGGTTTCTGAATATTTTGGCATACATTAGAAAAAATAGACATGTTTGGTTATGTATCATGTCATCCAACAAATTATGTTTGCACTTCCATGAGACAATTATCCTTTATACTTCTAGAACCTGTAAACTCTTATTATTATTAGACAAATGTGCCTCATCATTTTTTCCATTGCATAATGGCGACAAATGATAATGTTAGGAAACTGAAATAGGAAAAAAATTGAGTCGTCGTTGTTGTTCTTGCAATGTCACTTCCATAGTAGAAAGAAATGTTTGTGTCAGAGAAGAGAATTATTACGGAATTGCGGAAAATTTAAATTGCGAGAAATGGAAAAATATGTAATCATTGTAATTAATGGTGGCGGCAGTGAACTTGAGGATTAATTGGTGGAATCAGGAAGACAACGGTTGAAATTCAACAGTATTTATATTTATTGTTAGCTAATTTTAAATGCCAAGTCAGCTGATTTCTAACCCAGGTTTATTTCGCCAGAAAATCCAATTTGCTAAATTGTGTTATCTCTACGTCATCAAGACTGTCAATCATATTGATTCTGCATATTGTGTAAATTATGTTTACAAATTTTAGTCAATTTTAAATATCGTTTCTCATTGTGTCACCTTCTTGTGTAGAATCAGAATCACAATCACATTCACAGGTGCAAAAGATGATTTTCGGCTTTAGTCACGGTTTAAGATCGATTCCGATACACTCAGAAGATATTATTCAGATTCAATTAAAATCCGTCTGTGTATACAAAGTATGGATGAAGAAGACTATTTATAGAGGAGAGAGAAGGAAATTGTTCTTTATTTAAAGATATTTATTTGGATTTTTTTATATTTGGACATTTCGTGCAAACCAGAAATTTATACAATCATGATGCATCTAGGGATCAAAATTTGGTCGATTATAATTGAAAATTTGTAGCTGTTTAGGCATTTACTTTTCTAGGAATTTTGATATTTATACCTTAAAATATGTAGCAATTACTTTTAGGCATTTTTGTTCTTATTTACGATTAAATACAATATTAGAAACTTAAGAATGTAGGTATATAAATATTTTGATACTCAGATATTTAAGCTTTCCTTAACTTGGACTTCTGGGCTTCAAAACAATCGTCTACAAATAAAAATATATTTGAATTATGTACAATTATTTAGAAAATTTGTACTATGATGAAACTAAGCAGCTTTTACATTTTTAGGCAATTAAAAGTTTGGCCATTTAGGTATCCAAAAATTTAATGACTGAATAATTGTAATTTAAGCTCTCATTAATTTGGATTTTTGGGCTTCAAAACATTCGTCTACAAAAGAAAATATATTAGAGTTTTGTACAATTATTTTGAAAATTTGTACTAATATGAAACTAAGCAGCTTTTACATTACAGTTAGAAGTTTGGCCATTTAAGTATCCAAAAATTTAATGACTGAAAATTTTTAATTTTTTGCATTAAAATAATTTGAAACTCTCAAGTATTAAGGACTTTAAATTAAAATTTAAATATTAAATTACAAACTTTTGTGTTTTATAGTTTTTTGTTCTTAAGAATTTTCTTTTTTTAATTACAATATTTGTTACAACTGCTAAATTATTTAACATCTAGTAATAATAATGAATAATACCATAAATTAATAATAAGATAATAATAATTAAAATAATAAGAGTACAAAATAAAGAATAGTATTTTCATTAAAATGATATCCGTAGTTTGAAGATTTAATATAAAAGCAAATAATAATAATAATGAAATGAATAAATAAAATAAATAAAATTTCTGAATAATAAAAATAATACCAGAAAAACTATAAAGTGGAATAAAAGCAACAAGTGACAGATAATAATAAAAATAACAAAATGTAATTAAGAATTTTCTTAAGGCTCTAGAAAAATAAAAACTTAGGATTTTGGCATCTAGGGTTATATACAGGCTATAATAGTTTAATATTTTATATTTTTTTAAGATTAAGTTGAAAAAACTAAGAAATTTAGAACTTTAGATATTTAGGTTTTGACGTTTTATGATATTTATAATTTATTTTAAATTCTTTTTTTGTAATTTCGTTTGTAATTAGGAAATTTTTACTGTTAGAAAGTTGAGCATATAGATTTTTCCTCTGTTAAGAATTTCCTTATTAAAAAAAATTAATTTAGGAATTCAGGAAATTTACAACTCAACACTTTTTGAAACCAGTTTTTTTAGGAATCCATATCTATATTTAACACTTTAGTTAGGGTAAGTTATTTGGAAATCATCCAAAAATGGAAAATGCACATTTTTGCATATCTTTACGTTCTAGAAGTTTCTGAACATTGTGTGTATGTGTGTGTGTGCGGATATATTTTTTGTCCACGCTTCCGGGAACATGGATCAACTGATTTACAAAATTAGTTTTTGGTGAAAGCAGGATAAAATTTATTTCAAAATTAAAAAAAATAATTTTATTTTGATTTCCAATGTTTTTTTAAATACCTAAAATTATTCGGATTTCAATTTTCATTCATGCTAAAACATTTGAAATTTCTCGAATATTTCATTACAGTAAGGGAAGTTCCAGCAATTCGCCTTAAGGCACGATTCCATGCACCACTAGTTAGTTTTTGTTTGGTAGATGTAAAAATGTA